TTAGCGTGGGGATACCACCATATACCTAGTATGTTACCATGGGAATAGATACAAAATTTTTCCCCAAAGTTATTTTTTGGCAACCCAGCTAAATCACTCCAATAATCCCTAATGATAGTATTTACGTAGAAAAACATCATACTTTTAACTATTCATACGTTCAGAAAATGACAAATGGACTATAGTGTGGACTAGATCAATTTTTCTTTACTTTTTAATTTACTACATGCCTTTGGTTCATAGTAGGTATTTTTGGCTAATCCCATGCTTTACATTCAAGTTGTTATGTTGTTATTAAGAATATTTTATTTGCCTATGTTTTCATTCCATTACAGGCTAATGATTTATAGTGGTTTTAACATTAACAAAAAAGGATTTGGCAAGAGCCTATTGCCTATTCTAAGTCGTCTCCTACTGTAGTTGTAATATTATGTTTTGATTTAATTTAATATTCACCAAAACAAATCATAAAATAAAAGACCTAGTCTGTTCTTTCCAAATTCATCTATGATACACATATACTGTACAATTCTTACAAACTTTCTTTCTGATAAATGATTTTAGAAAGGTTAAACACACAGATCTCTATAATTACATCAGATATATCACCACAATTGTAGGACAAATAAATATATCATTCTAGATTATTGACTTAGTGGTTAAGTTATTGCAAATATATAAAAAAAGATACTTTTGTGACCACCATTCTGTTAAGTATGCTATTGCCATTACCATTGATCAATTCTTGTTTAGCTCTTTAGCTATTTATATAAGGCAATAAGGTTAATCATGCTTCCATTTTGAAAAATGACCTGCTTCAATAGGTGCAATATTCAATGCTTTGTGTAGCACTTGGGGAGATTAAACGATAGAACACTGGAATGGTGGAATCTCTAGACATGTCTTTACTATTCAGGTGATCTAGCATGCTTTGTTGTTCAAGTTATCAATTACTGGCGATCCTCTTGAGTTACATCAAAATAATTTTTTCTTTTGTTGCAGCGGAGTTTACTCTGTTTAATGACTAATAGCTTTTTATTTGACATAAAGTAATAACCTTTTGTAGACAATGGTTTTACAATAATGACATATTGTTCTAAAGAACATTGGGACAATATGTCTTCTTATTTTCTAGAGCAACATCAATTTATCTTGCTTCGTCCTCTTTTACTTGAATTGTATAAGAACAATCATCCTTCTTCTCATACAAACATTTCCTCTCGGTATATTGAACTTCCTTCCAAAGGAATCAATAGAATTGATTCAGCATATCGTTATATGACAATAGATTAAGCCTCAGATTATTAAATCTTTTATTTACTTTGCTCCTGTTTCAAACATTTCATCATTTTTTTCTTCTCTAGATATTTTTAACCCAATGTCTGCTTTTCATGCATATAACCATATTGGTGTTTGTGCTTAATACTCGTGTTTGGTTCTTGCGAATTGTTGCTGCAGGCTATTAGCAAGAATATTCACTGTAACAATTTAATTCACTGTAACAATTTCCAAAACTTTTGGAACATGCTGACTGTTTCAAAGATCCATATTGAGGTCAGAATTTGAGAATTTTACCAATTTTGTATGGATGGCTCTGCCCTGATTGTATGCAGTAACATACTATGTTTTGACTGTTAAACTTTTGGCATTATATAATTAAAATAATGTGGGCTAAAAATAAAAATGAGGTGAATTTGAAAGTTGATATTGTGTCATGGATAAACAATGAGTCATGGGTATTACAAAAAATGGCCAGGGGGCTACAGCCCTCGGGCCATTATTTTCTCCTAAGACCCAAGACGAATGGTTTATCTAACTTAAATCACACACTGGGCACTGAGTCTTATTAAAGGTAAATGGTCCATGATCCAGTTTTAGGAAATTTGATTTATTTTGTTTTGACTGTGAGGTAAGTGTATTGAGAAGTGAGTGAGTATATAAGTTCAAATAGTTAGTTCACCTTTAGTGCACTGCATGTGACAGTCAATTGTCTTTTGTGCCACACTGGTTTTGGATAGCTTGCCAAGTGTACATTCTTTAAAAACAATAGAAAAAGCAGTCTTTGTTATGGCTGGACAAAAATAAGTGTTGCTACCTAAGTTGGGTATTGATTAGCCTTTACAAAAACGCTGTAGTATTGGGTTTTAAGTATTATCTGCTGTTTCCATCAACACATGGAATACAATAGGCAAACTCTTTGAAGGGTGTTCTGCATCAAACATCATGCAATAACAGGAAATTGAGACAGATTTTCACCTGATATTTATTATGTTAAGAATCAATTAACAAATAATCATTGATTTACTAAACTGACTAAATGCCGACTCATGCTGAGTTTGCGATCATAGCAATCTTCTGAAGTTGATATTCAAAATTAATGTCCAATTAAAGCACAAACCTTAACGAACCTTAATGGAACAAAATAGCATATACAACATTTTCTTAGACCTCTCAATATTATAGTTATACAAGGGAAATTTTGGTTGATTTAACAAAAGGTATGCAAAAAATTAAAACAGAACTCCCCAAAATAGATAAAAATTAAGATAAATGTTTTATTTCATTAACAAGATACTTTTTTAAAATCAACCAAACTTTCCTTTGTACAATTACAATATTGAGAGACCGTTGTGTTTAGGTCGTTTTGTTCCAATGAGGTTCGGATAGATGTTCCATTTAATTCCGAACATATGATACCAAGAAGAAAAGAAGTGTCTGGTGTGTTTTCTAAAACAATATAGAGAAAAGTTTATATTTCAAAGTATAATGTTATCATTCAAAAGATGACCATAAAATTGACGATGTGTAAAATTTTCAGAATTTTTGATGACTAGTTTAAGAGGAACATGTGTTCAAAAAGTTCACCATATCGATACCACTCCTTTTACTGATATTTCTAATACAGTAACTGATAAGGGATCCAATACGGGATCCAATATAGGTTTTTGGCTGATACAGGATCTGATGCGGGATTTTTCTAATATCAGTTTTATTCCCAGTTTATTTCCCAGGGAAAACATGTTATTGTGGTATAATATTATATATTTATTCTATATTATTGAGATTCGGTTTAGCAATTTAAGGTATTTGATCATTATCCCAACAAACAAAGTTCGGTAGGGATATACAGGGCGTATCAAAAAAAACGCAACAAGTAGTTATCTCGTAAAATCACAAAACTAGTGATGATTACATCAATTTCATTCAATGTACCATAAAGCCACGTCTGTCCTCTTTGCAATGATGTGTCATTCATTCACATGTGGTAATGTTGAGAAATCCTTCCATTTGCACAGTGGGTCAAAATGGGCCAAGTTCTGGGCTTCTGGGCCAAGTTTTAGATATTGCAAAAATCAGTTCAAGGGCTAAGTGCAAATGGAAGTTCCCCTGACTTGAATTGTTATAACTTTTTTCTTTTGGAGCTACCTCAGAAGCATCTGTGCTCACAATTCCTCCAACAGATATTGCAAAACCTTGAGAAATAATTGCCCATGGGCTGCTTTTCTCTGCTTTAACCCACAGATGACTCAGGGCTGAACCATGCATGACATGGACAGATGAGCGCACCTTTATGTACAAGGAAGTGGTGGCAATTTGGAGGGGTTATAGGATGTATTCTTGCAAGAGTATGAGTATGAACACTTTACTGTCTATGCCACACCAGTCACACCTTCTTCCAATAGCCCCTATGGCCCTTGTACTGACTTTCACAATGTTTAGAACTTGGGTCCGAGTTGAATTTTGCCCCACTTTGCAAAATTAATGATTATTTTGCCAGCCATGACTCCCTGTGAATGGATGATATTCCATTGCAAAGAGGAGTATTTTGGCTTTTTGGTACATTGAATGAAAAGGATGCAGTCAGCATTGGTTTTATGTTTTCTTCCAATATTGCATCGGACTCCGTACACTGACTTTTGCGATGTTTATAACTTGGCCCAAAGCTAATTTTGGCCAACTTTGCAAATGGAAAGATTACTCGCCCAACCATGACCAAATATCAATGAATGATATATCATTGTAAAGAGACAAGTGACTTTATGGTGCATTGAATGAAATCAAGGCTGTTATCACTGGTTTTGTGCTTTTTCAAGATAACAATATGTTTCGTTTTTTTGATACGCACTGTAGTGAAGCCCGCCATCCGCCAGTGGTTGGGATCTGTAACAAATTCTTACAACTTCCAATAACTTAACAATTACTGTTTAGACTGACTTCAATTTTTTTCAAAATCATCTACAAGTTTTCAGAAGTTCAAATCTGACTTGATGTTTAAGATTTGACCTTCAATGATCTTTTCAAGTTCAAAAAGGTTAAAAAAGGTCAAAAAGGTATCTTTTCAACTTGCTTTAAATTGAATTTTTTCAAAATCATCTACAAACTATCAGAAGCTCAGATCTGACTTATATGAGATAAATAGATAAAAAGATATGAGATTTGACCTTCAATAACCTTCTCAAGGTCAAAAAAGGTATTTTTTCAACTTGCTTCAAATTGACCAATTTTTCTTTTCAAAATCATTTATAATTTCTCAAAAGTTCAAATCTGACTATGGATTTGACCTTCAATGACATTCTCAAGGTAAAATAAGATTTGACCCTCAATGACCTTTTCAAGGTCAAAAAGGTCATTTTTCAACTTGCTTCAAATTGACAATTTTTTTTCAAAATCATCTTCAAGTTCTCAGAAATTTGACTTATGATTGAACTAATGTTGTGAGCAACTAGGTGGTGACATTTTGTCATATTAATGCCTTGTTTCATTATGTCATCTCCAGAAGTGGTGACTTATAGTTTTTATCTTTTTTGTGGATGGCAGTCAGCAGTTGGTGTTTGGCAGTGGGTGTTCGGTGGTTGCTGTTCAGTGTTTTACATCTGTAACAAATGGCAGGTGGTGACATTTTGTATCTTATGTTAATGCCTTGTTTTAAATTGCATTTGTGAGCATTTGCTCATTATTACTCAGTGATTGTTATACAAGTATATGATTTTTTGATTAAGGTGAAGGCTGAGGGAAGGGGAACGAAGAAGTGGTGTAAAAGGAGAGGATTAGAGGAGCAAAGATTCTATGAAATGACAAAGCTGAAGCAACAGTTCAAGGAATTACTGAGGGTAAGTGTTAGTTGTGGGAAAATATGACTGACTCACACATTGACTCGTTATCCCATCGAACAATGTTCGGAGGGATATAGGGAATGCCTCCGTCCGTCTGTCTGTCCGTCCAGGCAATAACTCAAATACCGTTGGCCCGATTTTGTTCATATTTTGTACACATATACCTTCACTGGCATGTAGCGGCCCTGATATCGATAAATTCTACACGCAATATAACCCGATTTTAGATGCTTGGTTAAAACTTTACACGAAAAAGCCTCGATATCCGGGCATTTACTCTTACACTGAACTGAAAATAGCATCGTCTAAACGTGTATGTCTTGGCTTCCGGGTAAGTTTATCAACATTTATACTCAATTGAAAGAGCAGTCGTGCATATATCGTGTACCAGTTTGATTGTTTTATATGTGTGTGTATTTATAATATGATAGTCTAGTAATACCGTGTCGTTAGAACAAGTGCTAGATATCGAACTGATGACCTGAAATTAGATTATTGGACTGGTCGCGCATCTGATATTAGATGATTAATTTGCATTGGATCTGATATTAACTTGCAACCCAATACTACAATAAATACCATGATTTTACATTAGAATGATAACACGGCCTCACATTCTAATTCATTATACGTCCATTGCAGGCCAAAAATGTTTCAATGGGGATATTGTAATGCACACGAGAATACATTCGATTCGTATATATTGACACCCCAGTTGTCCGAAACCCAGTTGTCCGAAACCCAATTCCCCGAAACCCAGTTGTCCGAAACCCATTACTCCGAAAAATAAAGTCATAATTTACCAGAGAAAGGGGGGGGGGGCGTAGCTTACTTAAGCTTACGTCAGTTTCATGCCATGTATTTGGCCAAATTAATGGCATGGACGCATTCTGATATTCATAGATCTCTCTCTCACTTTGAATTGCATCCATTGCATGGCGTTACCAGAATGGCAGGAACGGGAGATTTATTTTACATTGTGATTCTAAAAAAGGTTATTAAAACACAATATATATTACGGAACAGTTTATCTTATCTTCTTCAATCTCTTTTATATAGGCAAAATAAAATGAAACATTTTGAAACAGATAAAATAAGGTATAGAACTTAAAGAATAAAACAGTATACAAATTACGTTGTCAAAATATTTCGTCGCATTTAATTTCTTAGTCTCAGTCCCTTATCAAATCGTAAAAGAATAAAACATTCTAAACTTAATCACTTGGGATTTATGTTTCGGCATTCGTTTCAGGCATTTGTTTTTTATGTTCTTCTCCTGAAATGTATTTGTTTGACAATAATCAGAGAAAGTGCGTATATATACGTATAAATATGCCACGCAAACAAACGGGTGTGACTTCAATTTCTTGTCTGTCTGAGGACGTATTGGGAACGAGGTAGAATTAAAGAATTCTTATGAACAAATGTATTGGATAAGTTAATTTCTGATGGATCTGGATAAAATATATTTCAAAACTTTGTCAACACTAGATAACTTCATTTAGGCAGATATAGTATCTTGATATATTTGGCTATCATGCGTTTAAAATACGTTCCTAAAACTATGAAGACGTTGTGTGAGAAATATTGCTATTGTACGTTCGAAAAGTATTTGGTTGTATTTTGTAGTTCTCAAGTTATCCATGAACTTTCGTGGGCTAATTAACGTCTTGACTCAGCATATTTAGCCTAATTTTGCAATGATGTCAACGTGATTCAAATGTTATGCTGTCGTGATTCGCAGAGGTTGCGACAAGATTCGTTTTAAGAAATTGTATTTTTTGATAAGATCCCCTAATTTTCGGAGAACTTGGTTTCAGACAACTGGGTTTCGGAGAATTGAGTTTCGGACAACTGGGTTTCGGACAACTGGATTGACCCCTATGAGGGTTGATCATACATCAATTGAACATGGAGATTTTCCTGTACACTTTTCCCAAACATGTGGAATAGATCTAGACTAGATGCGAGTAGAAATTATCTGATTTATCCTATGCCAAGTAGGGTTTTAGGGAGATAAGTTGGTAAGATATATCCCGTATCCTGATTTTGAGGTTTCCATATCAAGAACCTCCATATCTCCCGTCATATCTCCCGCTTCGGTGCATATCTTCCCGCTTCGGGTCGTATCTTCCCGCTTCCAAAAAAGTGGAAATGCAATAAAATGACTTTGCATATGAATGATTTGTTTATTTTTTACACCTTGTGCTACTAAAAAATCTACTTGGTATAGGATAAAGCAGTTATGTACGGTCGGTTTGGATATTGGGTTCATCCCTCGTGAGATATGCACATCTACTTTCTGTCCCTACGGTCCCTCAGGTAGATATGCATATCTCCCTCTGGAAAAACCCCGCATCCAAAACCTCCCAGTACATAACCCGTATTTATCCCATGGTTACAAGGATATAGATCGAATATCACGTGAAGATATAATTGATACGTGGATGAAGATATCATATTTTAGCAAACAATTCCCAAATCATCGAATATCACTTTTGAAACCATCGAATATCACTTTTTGAAAGGTGATATTCGATGGTTTCAAATTGATATTCAATGGTTTCAAAAGTGATATTCGATGGTTTTGATTTTTTCAATTTTTTTTATTAATTCAGCAAAACGATTGTTTATGAATACCTAGCAAGAGCTCAAAAAGTTCAATCATCTATTTATCTCAAAAAGACCTCAAAAACTGAGCTTGAATTAGAAATATGTCTTCTAAAATCTTCCTCGCCTGGACCTGATGGGATTCTACCATCACTTATTAAGTCTGTAAGACAGTTTTTAATTCTCGAAATCGTTGTTCCCTCTTCAAAAGAGAAGACGCGAAAATCTTTCCTTATAAGGGCAGAATATTTCCCATGATGCAGTTCGCGGAGGAACAAATTTATACTTCCTTATTTTCCCTCATAGGTTTAACATGGGGATTTTCACACCTATTTTTCAAACGATATATTCGTTCATATTCCCGTAGGAGAGTACAGAAAAAATTATTAGAAACGATTGATCTCTCATTAATCTTAATATAACAGCTATTTTTTTCATTGTATTAATTCATAGCGTGGTGAAAACGATGATTGAAAAGTGAGAAAATATTCCGGAAGAGAAGGTCACGTGATCAGTAGACTAGTCGCCATATTGGAAAAAACAATTCCATTCTACTTTCAATACTTTCATGCCAATTTTACCGCACTACAAACTGCGACATCGATGCAACAACTGAATAAAAGTATTCATCTTCAAATTACATTATAGAGTTACGTTGAAAACCCACAAACAACTGAACAGTAGACCAAAGAAGACGCGTCGCAATTATCTAGGTCAATCCGTTCAGTGGTCCGAAAGCAAATCTATAGTACTCGTTTCCGAATTTTGTTGTTCGTTGTACAATCTTTTATTGATTAAACTCGGTATACTGACTATTAAAGCAGTGACAAAGAAGAATACTTCCGATGGTGTCATTGTTTTATTTAGCGTGCGAGTGTAAAAACAAAATTGAGTAGTTAGTTTGATTTAGAACTTTCGTGTCACGCAAATAGCTACGCGAAATGCATAGTGGGAAAAGATTGACCAATCAAATTTTGTCCTTTTTGAGTGCTTTTTCAGTGCATATTAGCGAACGTTCTGTTTCAAAGAGCGAATCGCGAAAAGGAGAATTGATCCGCTCTTGTATATATTTAACTTATCTTTTAAATCTGGTATTTTCCCAGACGCCCTCAAATTGGCCAAAGTAACACCTGTATTTAAAAAAGGAGTCACTACAAATCCTTCGAACTATAGACCAATTTCAGTTTTATCGGTATTTTCTAAATTGTTAGAAAAGCTCATGCACGCCAAACTCACTGGTTTTTTAGAACGTTTTGAAATTATTTTTACTTATCAATTTGGATTTCAGAAATTCAACTCTACCTACATGGCCATTTTATATTTCATTGAACAAATTCGAAAATCAACTGATTTGGGGAAAACGAGCATTGGCATAACATTAGATTTTTCCAAGGCCTTTGACACTATTAATCATGACATTTTGATACAAAAACTTGAATATTATGGCATCAGAGGAATAGGTAAGTCCTGGTTTGAAAGTTATTTAAAAGACTGCAAACAATATGTCACCATTAACAATTATGAATCTAAACAATCATCTCTAAATTGTGGTGTTCCGCAGGGCTCGGTACTTGGACCACTATTATTTATTCTTTACATAAATGATCTGCCTTTTGTTGACCCTAATCTAAAATTTATTATGTTTGCTGATGACACCAATCTTCTTGATAGTGATTATGATTTAAATGAACTCATGACTAGAACTAATGCAAACTTGAATTCAATAGATGACTGGATAAAAGCAAACAAACTTTCACTTAATATTGGCCAAACCAATGCTATTCTATTTGGACCCCAAAAAAAATCAAACAAATCTGAATCTCAAAATACGCAATGAGAACATAAATTTCCGGGATAAAATTGACTTTCTTGGAATTATTATTGATAAAAACTTGAAATTTAAAGAGCACATAAAATCTATTGAAACAAAGATTTCTCGCGTCATTGGTTCTCTTTATCACATTAAACATCTACTTCAAATAGACAGTTTCAAAACAATTTACTACTCATTGATACACTCTCAATTAAATTATTGCAACATTATCTGGGGTAACACATTTAAATCATTTTATGATCGTCTACATAAACTGCAGAAACAATTCTTAAGGCTAGCTTTAAATAAGGATAGACCTTCTCACTCCGCTCCTTTATTTGAAGATCTTAACATATTAAATATTTTTGATGTCAACAGATATTGTACTGGTCAGTTCATGTACAAAATCTTTAATAAGCACCCCAGTCTTCCAAAAAATCTATTTCAAGACTTGTTTGATATCAACATTAATATTCATCATCATTACACAAGACAATTGCATTATTTTCATATCCCTAAATGCTCTAAACTTTCCCTTCGCTATCTAGGTCCTAATCTTTGGAATGCTCTACCA